AGCGAAGTGTATGAAATATTAGGATAATGGAACAATGATACTTTCTTGTAATCGCTGACGATTTGCCAATTATGTTCTTAATGGTAATGGAATACATTTAGTACGGTGGATGGAGGATTATGTATTGAAATTAAATAGAACATTAAAATGAAAAAGTGAAGAATTATTGGAAAAGTTAATTTGGGAATAAGATTACATACATATGTCCAAAGATGATTGGAATTGTTCTAGCTTTTGGAAGACATTTGTGACCATTTGGTCTTTGGAGCTGAGGTACCTTTATTGAACACAATGTGTTCACATTAAAGATCTAAAAGGAGAAACTCATAAATCTAAAAGGAGTAAACGAGGGATGATGAAAAGTGGTTTGAAAGAATTTTTAAAAGATTGAAGCGCTAGAATAAAAGATATTAGGGCTATTGGTGTTCAAGAAGATTTGGATTGTATTTGTAAATAAGATAAGGACAATATTTGTGGATATGTTGAATTTTATGGTTTTGGTTGGAGAAAGATACTTTTGTTGGATATAGAAAGTTTGTATAAAAGAACAAGTATTCTTTCAGTTGGAGATAATGATTGAGCTACCGGTTCGTTTGGGGAGGAAAGGTGTTGTAAAAATTTGCTTGGAAGATGAAAATGAGAAGATAACGTTAGAGACATATTCAAACTGAAACAAGAAGAAGTTTTTGATAAGTTTAATTTCAAATAAGATGGCATAAAGATGTTTGAAATGACCTAGTTTTGTGTGTAAAGTTAAATATTTGTGAGTGACTTCCATTTGGAGTTTTGGATTTTTGATATACACAAAATTTGTTCTAATCAGAGATCCATTGGTCTGTGATTTTGAGTTTTACAAGTTTTTAGACAAATGGAGAAACTCATAAGTGCAAAAATGAGAAGCAAAGGTGTTGGGATTGAAATAGCACATGCCATAAGAAGTTTGGAAATCTTCTTGCTTCTGTAGTAAGGAAATTTAAGACAATTGTGAATCACTCTCACTCTCATTTGGAAATTTAAGATTGGAGATGAATTAGTATATTATTTTTGATTTGTTAGTTTTTGGACAAATGGTGGAGAAACTCACAAGTCTAGAAGGAATAATGGAAGGATGGCAAAAATATGCCCGAGGGAGTTTGAAATAATGGAAACGCTGGAACAAAATATTATAGGGGTATTGGTGCTAGGGAAAAGTTGGATTGTAGTGCTTAAATAAGTTGGATGTAAGACAATGTTTTGGATTGTTGAGTTTTATTGTTATTTATTGAAGGAAGGTAAAAGATACTTCATTAGGATAAAGAACTTGTGTTGATGCTAGGGAAAAGTTGGCTTGTATTTACAATATTTTGGAATTTTTAAGTTTTTCGGTGATTTATTGAAGGAAGGATAAAGGACTTTTGGATTAAACCGTGAGATTAATTATCAAGTCTTGCTTTAAGTTTTTGAAAGTTTTTCCTTTAAGAATGAAATGAGAAGATAACAATAGATGTTGTGTAGTTTAGGGTTCAAGGAATGAAGCTGAAGAATGCAAGGAAAAAAATTCGTGCAGTGTTGAGGATGGAGGACTATGTAATGAAGAATGCAGTCTTGCTTTAAGTTTTTGAAAGTTTTTCCTTTAAGAATGAAATGAGAAGATAACAATAGATGTTGTGTAGTTTAGGGTTCAAGGAATGAAGCTGAAGAATGCAAGGAAAAAAATTCGTGCAGTGTTGAGGATGGAGGACTATGTAATGGAGCAGACACAAAAATGAAAAAATGAAGAATTTTTGGAAAAAGTTCATTCTTCAGTGTCATTCCTGGAAACTTCAAAGGTTTTTTCTACAGAGTTCTTTTTTTGAGAAGTAGATGAATTATCAAGACTTGCTTTAAGTTTTTAAAAAAATTTTCTTTAAATGAAGAATTTTTGGAAAAAGTTAATTTGGAAATAAGATGACATATGTCACAAGAAGTTCAGAATTGTTCTAGATTTAGTGGAAAGTAATGATATTTGTGCATCACTTCTATTTGGTTATCACATTTGAGGATTTAAGTTTGTTCAAGCAGAAGATCGATTGGTATGTTGTTATATGATTTTGAGTTTGGTAGGTTTTTGAAACAAGAGGCAAAGAAACTCACGAGTCGAAATGGAATTATTGAGGGAAAGTTTGAACAATGGAAGCACTGGAATGATAGATATTTGGACTATTAGTGCCTACAAAAAGTTGGATTGTATTGATCAAAATATAAGATTGTTGGTAAAGCAGGATATTGGTTCAACATAGTAAGATATTACAATTAAGTAGTATTACATTAATTTTCGACATGCATTTATCTTGATTTTTCTTTTTCTGTAAACATATGAATTGAAATTATTTTATATTTTGGTAGCATAGTTAAAATGCACAGTGGATCAGGACATGGAAGATGACGTGCTATGTTTGTGTAAGTAATTATCTTGGCTCGAAAATGTTTAATTATTTAATTAGTTTATAAACTTCACAATAGCTTTTTCTAGTTTATTATGTTCTTTTGTTTATTGAATTCGATATGAACGGTCAATCTTTTTTCCTCAAAAAATATCTAAATTGATTTGGTCTATGTGTTTAGGTTCCATCAAAGAGTCATTTTGCTAATGATATGTATTCTTTGATTATAATGCTCTTCTCAATGTTGAGTCATCATTTCTATGCAGGTAGCCCTTATCTCTTCTTTTGAATCTTCCTCCACTAGTTTCTCTTAATTATTTCTTTGTTTGATTCTATGAGCTTCTTCTTTGAACCAAGCGCACTGCTGTTCAGAATCTTTGTGTTACCATCAGTGGTTTCATCGAACCTCTGAAATAGAAGAATTGAAATGTCATTCTCAATTTCTTTTTATTTGATTAATAGTCTTCTTGTTTGTTGCTACTCCGAATCATGCTATTATCTTCCAGGTATATTTAAAGTTTGGTTGAACCGGTTGGGAAAAACATTGTTACCGAAATGGAGATGTTTTGTTTCTTAAGCGTATTATATGTTCATAGGTTTGTCTTCTGGTGCTATCCTTACTACTTTCTTCCATTCCATTATATATTATATGTTCATAGGTTAGCTGTTGAACTGTTTTGGCTGATAATGATTCATCTTCTGAGTACCTGATGAGACCCAAAGATGATTCTTCTTCTTCTTTATTAAATTTTTTTTTTGGGACAATTGAGGACTAGGCTAAAGGAGATCAAAATGCCCCAAAGGTTAGCTTTGGATGACTTAGAAGAGCATGGTAATTGATGTCTATGATCTCTAGCACCTTGGGGCGTGGAATGTTATAGATTATATTAACAATGGAGCTGCATCTTGGGGCGTGGAATCGAAAAGGTTTTTCAAAAAAGACAACATTTGAATGCCTCTTCATAAGAATATTTTTCAGGATCTTTCAAAAAGTTGATAAAACTAGTTACCATGTTCTCATACTCAAAACATTAGTTTCTATCCCATAACTTGTTCTTCCAGGTTTAATTCTCTTCACTTATGATGTAGGTAAAGTTTCACCTTTTTGGGCCTTCGGTAGGTGAACCTTGAGCTTTTAATTTTATCCAATTGAATAGTAAACGTGAATAAATCAAATACCTCCTCAAAACTAAATTTGAAATTTCCCGTAAACCACATAAAATTAAACCAACAATACACTTAAAATTAAGTAAAAAATGTTTAAACTCAACTACAAAAATACTCAAACCTTTGTTGCAAAATTAATTGATAAAAACCTTCAAACTTGATAATAGATTGCCCAAGCTAGTTAAAATATCCCAAATGACTAAAAAATTAACACCCACAACTAACTGTCTAGGGAAAAAAAGCTCCTACATAACTACAAATATTTTTAAAAAAATGGAAACTCAACTAATTAAGGTACTATGTCAAAAAAAAAAGAAAGTAATTAAGGTACTAATTTCATCCCTTATTTTTTTTTTCTTTTTCTTTTTTTTTTTTTAAATAGGAAATTGAGCTTTCATTCGAGAAACATAAAAGAATATACAATAGGCATACAAAAAAACAAGCCCACCTAAAGGGAAACCACTCCTAGAAGGAACCCCACAACATAGCAAAAAAAATAAAAATAAAAGCCTACCTCAACAGGTCCCTCCATCTTGAATAGAGGGGGCAAAGCAAAACCTCCTCCATCAATGCCCTACACCTCCTATTACAAGCCAAGGACACCCCAAAGACCTCCAAAACTAGCCCCCAATAGACCGAGCAAACTGGTAGCTTCACAGGATATAGTTGAGGTTCACAGAAGCACTTTTGCAAAGGTCACACCATTGGGGACCTAGGAAAATGGAAGAAAATCTCTCAATATGAACAACGTCCCATGGTATTAACTTTCCTATGTAAAACCTGGCAAATAACTAGATCTTCTTCAAAATTTTTACCTTCTAGAGTGAGGCGAAAAACAAGACATTAAGGGGAAACAACGAGATATTCAAAAGATTATAGAAAGAATTATATGTTAGCCACCTCCAACGACTTTCCATTTGTCAAGGAACGACAGAGACAAAGAAAAAGAAGAGGAATTCCTAGAGGGCTCCAACATAGAGAGAGGCTACTAAATAGGGGTTTATCATCCACCCAACAATCCTCCTAGATAGGTTAAGTTGTAGTACCATCTACAATAGGGCGTGAGAAAAAATGAGAGAGAGAATATAGAGGATATAGCCTTCTAGGGGCATTTACTTGAAATCATTGTTTGCTCGTGATTATCCTACGCCACAAGTCATTGGACTCCTAGAAAAACACCACAACCATTTAGCCGATAAGGACTAGCCACCTCCAATGATTCTGATGTAATGAATAAAATCATTTATTCTGTTTCTAGTTTTAGTTAGAGTTAGCTGTTAGTTTTTAAGTTTTAGTTATTTTCTGTTTATAGGTAAACTAGCCGTTAGCCTTTCTCCTTTTTAAATACCCCTCTTCCTTCCCTTGTAAAGAAGGATATAATGAATTAGATTTTTCCTCTCACCTTTGGTATTACACCAAATTTGGTATCAGAGCCCTAAAACAGAGCTTAGGACCCGATGGCTGGAAAGCACACAGTTAACACCAGCAAAGGACCCGCTGTGGATTCTTCTACCCCTCAAATTTTGTCTCCAAAGTCAACCACCAACCGATTGTTGTTGATGGAAGATTCGCTAGGTGAAGTTCGATCAAATGTCCAACATATCCATTCATTATTAGAAAATCTTGGCAGACAACTCGAACTCATTTTTGATGAACAAGAACGGCTGCAGACGGACCTACAACATACCGACGAAGCAAATCGACCAAGAAACCAACCTAGACCACCCAAACCTCCAAGAAATCATGATGGACGTAACCGAAGAAATCAAGAACTTCAAGAAAGAAGTCAAGATTCTGATACTTCGGATGGTGATGAAGGTTTTCTTCAGCAACACCCTCGATTTGCGAGGGAAGAACACTATGTTGAAAGAGGAGGCGTCCGTACTGACTTCAAAATGAAGATCGACCTCCCCACATTCAACGGGAAGATGGATGTCGAAACTTTTCTGGACCGGGTAAAAAATGTTGAAAATTTTTTCGATTATACAAATACTCCAGAGGATAAGAAAGTCAAGCTCGTGGCATTCAAAATACAATCCGGCGCATCTGCTTGGTGGGATCAGCTTGAGATCAACTGCCGACGTTTGGGTAAACAGCCTATTCGTAGTTGGCCAAGAATGCTCCGCCTTATGCGTGAGCGTTTCTTGCCTCCTAACTTCGAACAACTGTTGTATCAACCATACCAACGATGTCGGCAAGGTTTCAAGACCATCGCTGATTATACTGAAGCTTTTCATCGTCTTGGTGCCAAAACTAATATAGCCGAAACAGAGGATTACAAGATTGCGAGGTTTGTTGACGGACTACGAGAAGACATTCAAGACCAAATGGATATTCAACCCATCCATCTTCTTACAGACGCAATCGTTATGGCAACTAAGATTGAGGACAAGAAACGCCTCCGCACGCCTGCTCGCCGTACCCCTTGGGACAAACCTTCTATCTCAAAGACAGCTACAACAGATACGGGTAAACCACTTCAAATTGGGACCACATCTGCCTCCACCACAAAACCACCAGACGATCCAGCTAAGTCTTCTCCTTTTAAAACTCCTGATACCTCATCTAAACGTGGCACTAATCCCTATATTCGCCCTACATTGGGCAAATGTTTTAGGTGTGGACAGGTCGACCATTTGTCCAACGAATGCCCCCAGCGACGTGCTTTGGCTTTGGTAGATCAGGACGATCTTTTGGAGACTGATATTGACCTTCCAACAGAAGATGATCCCACTTATGTCGAACCCGACGAGGGTGATCTTCTTAGCTGTGTTGTCCAGAAAGTTCTCACACCGAAAGTGGAAGTGCAGCCCCAAAGAAACTCCCTTTTCCGTACTTGTTTCACAATCAATGGCAAGGTATGTAGTGTGATAATTGATAGTGGTAGTAGTGAAAATATGGTATCCCAAAAATTAGTAACTGCCTTACAATTAAAGTGTGTATCTCACCCATTTAACATACGTACATTCATTGACCAAGCCAATAATGTCACTCTCGATCGAATTCTTGATCTGTAGAACCAGTCGAGCATCATCCCGCAACCAAGCTTTCTTGCTCTCATCCTTAGGCGGATCCTGAGTTATGTGATCTTCCATATCAATACTTCGCAAAAAAAGACGAACATTGATTTTCCATGAAGAATAGTTTGATCCATTCAACTTGTGTTCTGTGATTTTTGATATCATTAGGATCACCTCAGAAGTTACGATTGATTTCTTCTCAACCATAACAAACAAACGAACTTATTTGAACAAGACGACAGAACCAGATGATTGGCAGATTAGGTGTTTTCTGTTAGAACCAAACAGGATTAGATGTTTTCTGAAACCAGAAACCCCAAGTGCTACCCCACGAACAACCAGAGGGGCAAAGGCGACGGGTACGACTGGTGGTGACGAAAGCACATGGTGACGACGACGACGATGATTGGCGGCGAGACGAAACCTACGAACAGCAATCGGAAAATAGCAGTGTTGGCAAATCAGCAATTGGCGGAGGCGGTGGTCGGCGGCGACGGTGGTAGTCAGCCTCATCATTGGGTTGGGTCGGGCCGGCCCAGTCCAAAGAAGTAATGGCCCAAGCTTGGCCCAGGCCCAAGCCCTACGGGCCTCAAATATTGTTTGGGCCGAGCTTGAGTCGGTCCAACCACTCAAACCTAGACTCATAACCCAATCCATGGGCCTAAGTTGATGAACCAAAGTTAGATCGGGCTTGGATTGGCCCGTATATTAATATATTTTTAATTATTAAATTTTAAAATTTAAATAATTTCCAAACTAAGTTTTTTATTTTTAAATTCTAGAATATGTGTTT